CTCTCTCTCTCTCTCTCTCTCTCTCTCTCTCTCTCTCTCTCTCTCTCTCTCTCTCTCTCTCTGTGAGCAGTTCTTTGATATAGATAATAATAATAATGATTATAATAGTAGTAATAATAATAATTATAACGGGTGCTATCTCTCTCACTCTCACTGACTCTGCCCGCTCTCCTTACCTCTTGCCTGCGCATTAATGTCACTCTCTTCCTCCTACTCCATCCCTCTTCCTTCCCAGTCTCGGCCACCTTCCTTCTCATGAATGCCCGACCGTAGCCGATGTTGCAACGACCGTGAACTCAGTTGACCGCTTGCAGGTACGAAGAGTCTCAAACGGAGACAACTGCGCTGGGTTTCTCTCATCCACTGTCTCTTTCTCTTGTTCTCGGTTACACACACGGGCACCCGTCACAACTAACTTCTTCATAAGAGGCCTTGGCCATGGCAGCGAGTTTGCACGAACGCTAGACGGTTACTCCCTCTGCAGCATGGACTGGTGGCCTCCATGACATGGTCATCAATCCCCGTAGTCGCCACCCCTTTCCTCATGCGTGAGACGATCACACCTGCTGTAGCAGCTCTCGTCCCAGTTACTTTCCCGTCGCATCTCCTCCCTAGGCGGTGCACACCTTGGCTGCCGCAGCCATGGCAGCACCAGTCAGCGGGGTTCACCCTGGTCACCCACTCTAGTGAACCCGGTTCCCCTCGGTCTCCTTGGTCCCGAATGTCCCTCACACACCAGCAGCCGCCATAGCTTCCGTTGACTGTCAACCAGCGTTGGCGGCGATGGGCTGTGTACACCGTGCATGCTGCTCCCTTCTCCCTCTGAATGCATCCCCCCCGTCTCCATGTCCAGACGCCCGTTGACTTCGTCCGTATCTGCGACGTGGGCGGGGTACACCTTGCATGCCGCGAGAGACCGCCCCCACCTGAATGTCCCAATCYTTTAGCTGGTCTGTCCTTTATCCCACACAGGCCACCCTGTCTCTAATGGAACGGTGGCATGTCTCAGGCCCACAGGCCGGGACCCAGGTACCAGGCCGTAGCACCAATGTTAATGATACCAACTCGCAGCGAGCCGCAGTGCGGAAGATAGCTGAACCGTACCAGTTTTGGACCGGACCGAATATGATAATACCAGACCGCCATGAGTGTCACCAGCGCTGGGCCTGAAGAGAAGAAATGAATAGGTCGAGTTGCAGCTCCGCTTAGTACCGTACCAGTTACCGAGCCATAAGAATTTGGAGCAGGCTGCAGTACGCTGCCCCGGTGTCATCCCTGTACCGAACCAACAAGTCACAATTACCGTACCAAAATGGCATAGCTGGCCAGAGCGGCATTCGGCAGTACCGTTACCATACCAGCCCAACGCCGGACGCCGTAAAGTGCAGCAAAAGTGTCGTGACCATACCGAACCAGTGTACCGTACCAAGATAATAATGTCGCGTGACCCGTCCCAAAATGGAATCGATAGCCGCAGCGATCCGACCATGTTATAGCAACCCCGAAACTGGTACCGCTCAGCGCTCGAGAATTACACCCAAGTTATAAAGTAATAATCAGTTGAATCGGGGAAAAATTACACGTGAATTTATAATTATCGGAAGTCCGTACAAACAGATGACATCATGGTGAATGAATAATTCCTAGTTAAAATCATCACAAATAAACGTCGTTAAAATTGATCAAATAATAACCAATCATTCGTTCTCCTCTCTTTTATTATTTTTAATTATTTTCMTCCTTCTTAATTYTATTAYCGRAAATAATGACTAATGAGGGCGACCYCGTTAAAATTAAATACYSAGGAAATTTAATAGAATAAGGAAACCGTTTTCTCTTCCCATCTATTGTTTTCAACTTTTTCTTCCATTTTTAATTTCGATATTAAGATTAAGGAAATTCGAGGTATCATTCCCGCACCAATAGTGCAAGATAAAAGGGTCGTGCCAAGGCTTACTCCCGTATTCCCATCCCGCGGCTAGCTGCTTCGGGAATAGACTCGGAACAAGCGGAAGAGAGGTGGGGCACAGCGTGGTAGAAGCGGTAACTCCCCTCGTTAATTTGAGGGTTCCTCTCAGTGGTCAGCACATCCAAAATTGGGGGTGCTCTGGGTACCCCTAATTTTCCCCGTCAGGTCAAACAAGAGTACCATCAAAATACGGTCTAGTCATCGGGGCGAAGACTCAACACCGCTGATGTAGGGTGGCCCACTGCCTGTGGCCGCCCAACAGCGGTGCTCCACATCGCAGTCACACTTGTGGCAATCTTCTACAACTCGGTATGGTTGCCCACGTATGATGCTCACCATTGCGAGGCAGTCTTCCTGGTGAGGGAACTGTCTCCGCGTCCGAACGTGTCCCACATTGGCTCATTCTTTGCCTGGTCCTTTGTCACCTCACAGTGGAATGTCCATAGAGACTGCCACGCATCAAGGTGGGATTGCAGTTCCCCCCATTCGTTTCCACCCAACTGCGACTTGAAGAACTCGATCGTGTTGTTCAAGAGGGGGGACTTGGTCTCAAGCAGCCACTTGGGTTCTCTCCTGTTGGGGGAGAGGAGGAAGTGTGCTGCATTTGCAGGCTGCCGCATCATCCTGCAGCAGTCGTCCACAAGCCCAAAAATTTCTTCCAACTGTTGCCGTGATATCCCATCAATATTCAATAGGCGGACGCGAAACATATCACCAAACATCCACAAATGGGAAGGTGATGTCCCATTCATGTCCATCCTCCTCAACACCTCATGCACATGCCGCATCACATTCACCACCTTGTGCACCCCTCTCCACCACTCCTCCGATCTCACCCTTTGGAAGATGTCATCCGCCTTCTTCCTTGACTCCTTGGCGCTCCAATGAATGTCCAGCCACCCGGTCCTCGAGAACCTATTGCCTGTCACTGACTCTCAACAACATTTGGTAGACGGAGACGAACCGGACTTCTGTCGGGAGAATGAGGGTCTTATTGTCATCCATAGATGATTTGGAGTACAGACTAACCGTGCGATGGTGGTTCTTTATGAACTTCACCATCGTCTTGGCCTGCTTCCTGATCGGCAGCACCCACTCGAGGCTTGATATGTCCTTGAGGAGGAGGCTCAGGGTGTGCGCTGCACACGGAAGCCATGGTATCTTTGCGATGTCCAAATCCTTCCGACGACGCAGAATTTTTGCAGCCCTCTTGTTTACACCGACATTGTCGGTGCAGATGGCATTCACTTTATGCACTCCAATCTCCCTGATCACCTCCTCCCAAAGCTTGGCAAGGGCCGTGGCATTTTTCTTCCGGCCCGACATGTCCACCACCTTCACCAGGACTGCCCCTCCATCCCCCACAGCAATGAAGTTCAACACAGGTCGGAACTTCCTATCCGTGCACCCATCAGTGATCAGCGTGCAACCCGAGATATCCATCTTATCCATGATGGGTTGCATTGTCAGCTTCACTTCGTCATACAACGCGTCTAGTACTGTGGTCCGCATAGTCTCGAAGGAAGTCATCTGGGTCTTTGCCTTTTGTGCGCCCAACTCCATGTACAAGTCGTGGAGCGCTTTGGTCTCGTCTTGTCGCGCGAAGTTGAAGGGGACCCGGGAACGACAAAGAGCTCTCCCCCATTGTAGGTCCATTCTCTTCTGCGCTGTGTTCTCAGCCCATTTGCGGATCGAGGTTTGTGTTTTCTTCCCCGACTTCGCCACAGTCGTGGAAGCCTCACACGAAGGACCTGCAACAGCCCCCACTGGATCGTCCTCTATCGCCTTCTTGTTTCGTTCCACGGATGTGTGGGTTGCTGCATTAGACACCACTGCCGAGTCCTCTCTCCCCGGTACCGGAGGCGGACGAATAAGCGACTTCATCTCATCCAGGACTGCTTTCTCCACCACCCCCCAGGGTGTCATTCCCGTATCCTCCGCGATGCCCTTTTACGCCCTGTAGGCATGTAGCATCCTCGCCGCTTCCCCATCGATCTTCACCCCGTCCAGCGCAAGCAAGTGCAGCACCTCGCCTGTCCTGGCTATGCACGGCTTTCCCTTCTTAAGGAAGTGCTCAACCGCTCGAGTTGCTGAGGCTGTGAAGACTGTCTTGCACAACCTGCAACGAACCCAATACTGCCCGTAGCCTTTCGGCTCTGCCGCCTGACCCTGCTCAATCCACCGAAATACTGTTCTCTCCTGCTGCAGAGTGCGCTGACGAGAATCCGGTTGCGGCACAAATTCAGGTGGTGTGCGCATCGCATTCACTTTCCCCTTGCTCTTGGCCGCTGCGCTGTTCGGCTGGCTTGATGACGCCATGACTGGTACGAGGAGGAGGAGGAGGAGGAGGAGGAGGAGTTCTTAGAAGAAGAAGAAGAAAATGAAGGAGTAGAAGAAAGAGAAGTAGCAAAACCGGAACGGGGAATAAAACATGTCGGGCCGAAACAAGGGACAGAACAAGAACATCAGAGCTGCAGCTGTTACTGTTGCAAAAAGCCGACACGATCCCGAAGTTCTGCAGCAATGAATCATGCGCCTCAACACAGAACAAGCCGAGAACCGCTTTCAAAGCTGCAGCTGAAAACAAATGAGAAAAAAGAAGTGGATCATGCAGTCCACACGTGGCACAACCAAGTGAGAGTGAGCTTCTGGTTCATGCAGTCCACACGTGGCACGAAATTCCAGTTCATGCAGTCCGGTCCTGTTGCTCAGTGCATGAACCGGAGGCAGGAAGCTCACTGCATGATCGTCAACTTCCGGAGGCTGGAAGTGGACTGCATAAACCAGAACTCTAGAACCAGAACCAGTCCCAAACTGGAAGAAAAGCAGAACCACGCAGAACACACACCATGCCTTGCACACAGTATCAAGAGACATCCAATGCAGCCAAGGAACCTTCAAGCAATTTGGCAATGAAACAAGCAACTGGGGACGCAGTTCCGCATCCAAGAGCGATAGAGGAAAGCAGGATTAAGACTGACAGAGCCAAAACCGACCAATGAGTAAGCAAGCATTCCTGAGCATTCCTGAGTATTCCTGATATGGACTGTGCACCGCATATCCCAGTATGACGGCCACTGTCTGGTCGACTGTGCCGTCCACAGTGTGGACTGCATGACACCATCCCTTATGATTGCAGACCACACTGTCTGGACCAGTCATGGCGCTACTGAACTGTCTGATCCAGGGTGTGGCTCACTGTCCAGTCCGCTTTCTGATCCACTCTGATCCACTGGGCGGCCCACTGTCTGGTCTGCTGTGCGAAACAGAAGCAACCCTGATAGTACTAAGTGCAGCAACGCTGATAGTACTAACTTACTAAGTGTGAAACAAAAGCAGCAGGGGACGTCCTTTTCTCTGTATCTTGATTGAGCACGTTCTTACTATGTTTGCCAACTTTGCCTTTGCCTGAGGCTCTCTCTGATTTTTGCCATCCTTTGTCATTCTTTTCCAGGCTTCCAGATGCTAGTTCTTATGCCCTTTTTTATTTCTTTTGCACTTCTAACCAATGGACTTGGCGTTCAATCAAGATGCAACAGCGGCAACAACAACAGCTACTTCTGCTGCCTCATGGGTCCTCGAACAGTTCAATTAACAGCAGCAAGATTCAATGAACAGCAACAGGATTCAATGAACAGCAACAACAAAGCAGCAACACCCACAACAATCAAGATTCAATGAACGGAGTGGAACACAGCAACTTAGACCCAGTGGGAACACTACCCATGCACCTAGCGCTGCCAGTAAGTGCTAGGTCCATGGGTAGTGTTCCCATTGGGTCTCTGTTGCTGTTTTCCACTCCCGAGTCCCTTCATTGAATCTTCTCCCCTCTGGGTAGTGTTCCCAAGGCGAGGTAGTGTTCCCATTCGGTCTCTCTCTCTCTCTCTCTCTCTCTCTCTCTCTCTCTCTCTCTCTCTCTCTCTCTCTCTCTCTGTCTGTCTGATGATGACGATGATTGACGATTAAGTATAGCTCGTATTGTCGTTGTCTATTCACGTTGCTGACTTGCAGCAGACGACCAAGCCTAACAGGAACCAAGTCTCACACTCAAGTGAAAGCGCCATGCAAAACCAACTGCATGCGTACAATCCATAGCATGCATCATCGATAGATTATCCTGTCATTTGATCAAGCGAAAGCAAATGCTTGCGTATGTCATCAAGTGAAATCAAGTGCATGTGTATGACATCCAGTGAAAGTGCCATGTAAAACCAAGTGCATGCGTACGAATGCAAGCTAAGCCGAGTACAATCTCGGCAAGAATTATAACAAGCCCCCTGGGGCGAGCTCCCATGTGATCCGTTTCTCCACGAACCGGGATCCCCTCCTCCTCCTCCTCCTCCTCCTCCTTTATACAGTCATGCTGAGCGGTCATGGTGAAACAGAGATGGGAAAAGCCAATGAAAATGGAAATGGAGATGACTGTAGTGCGCCGTCAACAGAAAACGGAAACGGAAATGGAGATAAGAAACCGCGATGGAAACAGAAACGGAGTCAGAAGGAAATAGAGATGAAAAGGCAGACACAGATCAAAACGGAGACTCCCATCTGCTGACGTGTTACTCCCATCTGCTAACGTGGCACTCCCATCTACTCACCGGTCACCACCATCTGCTTACCTGTCACTCCCATCTGCTGACGTGTTACTCTCATCTGCTGAGGTGTTCTTATCCATCAGTCCAGTGCATCCTGTGCACACTGTCCTTGTTCAGCCCCCTGATAAGCCGGTCAAAGTTCGACGAAACAATTATATAGCGATCAACAAAACGCATGACTTTGTCAAATGCAACGTCAGTCATGTCCTGGTCATATGCAAATTCTTGGTTTTTTTTTTTAATGATGTCGTGTATAGTGACCATAACAGCACACGCACACACAGACAAGCACACGCTCAAACTCACCGGCGGATTCGGCAGTCCCCGAAGAAAAGTTCAACCCCAAGAACATATACTGGATGAACGGGACATAAATTTATGACCCTAGCTTCTCTTCTTCCACCGAACGCAATGCCCTAGCTTCTCTGGGTGTGTCGGTTGGTCTTAGTTTCCAGCAATCGACTTGGGGGGGGGATTTGGTTGGTCTTACTCCTCTCCCTCTCTCCATAACCCCTGCCAAAGAGATCAAGATGGCGCGTCAGAGAACAGGAGGGGGAGGAGGGGGAGGAGGAGCAGGAGGTAAAGAGATCGAGTCCAACTTTGTGGAGTCAACAAAGGTAGATCAGCGCAGATTAAACAGAGATGGACCCACCGTTTTAGAGCAATGGCTTGCTGTGGAGTACCATGAGAATAGAAAATGAAAATGACCAGTTGGTTATCTGATCAGTTAGCGGATTGATTCGCTAAAACTTCGCTGATTGATTGGGTGAGTGATTGGGCGAGTGATTGGGTGAGTGATGGGGTGAGTGATTGGGTGAGTGATTGACTGAGTGATTAAATGACTAATAGGCTAGTTGATTTCGATTGACAAGTTGGTTGATTGTCTGCTTGCTCGCCTGATTGATTAGTCGACTGATTGGCTAGTTAATCGAAAAGGGTGGTTGGGTGGGTGATTTACGGATGACATTATCCGATTTGTTAATCATTGAGGAGGAGGACGATGGGCGGCAGGCGGCACTCTCGAGGAGGAGGACGATGGGCGGCAGGCGACACTCTCAAAGGATACATAAGAAAAGAGAACGGGGAGGGTGGGGGAGGGGAGGAGGGGAGGAGGGGAGGGGGGGAGGAGGGGAGGACGGGGAATAGGAGGAGGAGGCATAGGAGAGGGAGGAGGGGAGAGGAAGGAGGGGAGGTGA